AAGCGGGGCACCCCTTAGAACTGTCTGTCCGGGGTGGGGGTCGGGACCCTTTAAGCGCAGCCCTCGGCTAGCCTGAGACAGCATCTCCATGCTCTAAGTCCTCCTCTTATGCCCTGCCAGCACTGCTTCCGGCCATCCTTAAGCCCTGTTCAGAGTCCACTCAATGTGGACTTGCTAGTTCGAATTAGCAAAACGCTAATTCGAACTAGTTTTTAGTTCTAGACGCGTTAGTTTGACTTAGCTTAGTTCGAATTAACTAATTCGAACTAAGTTAGTTCGAATTAACGTTGTAGTGTAGACGTACCCTCAGAAACTTTGGGGCCAAGTAATAGAATTTCGGCTCCTTGGTCACTTAGATAAATACTAGATCAAATTTTCGTGTTCTCTGACGAGATGAGCATAACCTAGTTTAGAGAAAGAGTTCTGATGCAAAGGCAATTGTGAATTCACTTTTTTGTGTGTGTCTGTTCCTCAATATTTGCTTATATTTGATGTTCCCCAGAATTTTCCTGCCACTTAGCTCATTCCCTGGGATCCTGTGAGAGAGCAAAGAAAAGCAGGCTGCATGCAGCAGGAGTGAGCTCTATCCATTTAAAAAGCCACAAGAATATTTGCTGACAGATCTTTGCAGTAATTCTCCCGATCTCCCCAAGAATCAGAAGGAAGAACTCCCTTGTCATTCATCGGGAATGCTAAAGGTCATGAGGACACAACTGAGGGGGAACAAGCACCCTGTTTTAAATCTCAGCTTGCGCTTTCCTTGTCTCTGTACAGTGCTGGAGTGTCTGGGACTAGTAGCAGGTTATTTTTAGCCTCTTAGCCTATTTTGCAGCTCCCAAGAGCACAAAACCTGGATTCTTGCCTCCACTGTTCTTTGATTTTGCTCTGTCTGCACTTCTGTTTGCATGAGTACGAAGCCAATGTGTGCACGTTGATTCTCGTGTCACCTCCACTCCGATGTACCAAAAACAGCAGCTGCAGACTATTATTCCGTGTGTTAGGTTATTTTTAGCCTCTTAGCCTATTTTGCAGCTCCCAAGAGCACAAAACCTGGATTCTTGCCTCCACTGTTCTTTGATTTTGCTCTGTCTGCACTTCTGTTTGCATGAGTACGAAGCCAATGTGTGCACGTTGATTCTCGTGTCACCTCCACTCCGATGTACCAAAAACAGCAGCTGCAGACTATTATTCCGTGTGTTATGGCAGGGCCTAGAAGCTGCAACCAAGAGCAGGGCTCCATTGTGTCAGGTGCTGTACAAAGTGTAAGAAGCCATTTCTGCCTTGAAGAGCTTCGTCTAACTAGCCAAAGGAAGTGCTATATTATCCCCATTTTACAGCAGGGTGACTGGGGCACAGAGACTTACCCAACACCAGACAGATGATCTCTAGCTAAGTCCAGAACTGAATCCACCTCCCTGAGTCCCAGGCGAATGCTTTAATCACAAATCTAACCTTCCTGTCAGGCATCAGACACACAATTATTGTATAAATCACACCCAGACTAGAGCTCTTGCCTTCAGCACTAAACAATGCAGGTCTTAATCATGTGCACTAAAGGAGAGCTCCTTGAAGTTACTATCTGCATCAGCTCTGTCATACAGTTTATGCGCTACAGCCACGAGAGGGTGACATGGCTAAAAGCCAATCCATTACACTGCTCTGGGATTAGAGGCTGGTAACCAGCCAGTTGCTGCAGGTACATTGCTCTAAGTGTCTTGGGGTCTCCAGCCCTTCTGGAACCCATTTTAGTCAGAGAGCAACAGTTAACGAGATGGGCCAGGATCAAACATCTAGACCCTCCCCCCAAACTTTGTAGCTCAAACCCATTTCAACAGATGATTGTGTGGAGGAATAGCACAAAGCCACAGCTGTAGTTGTAGGATGTCCTGAGAAAAGTGTGGTGAAATCCTCTATCATTATACAGCAGGTTTGGATTATTCCTAGAGGGAACCACATAGGAAAAAAACAACATGCTGTCTGGAAGGGGTGAATGGATTCTCTTCTCTCTCTACAGCTGTTTCAGACAGGCTCATTGGGGAGAGGGTGCAAAATGTCAGAGCCAAGAACGTTAGCCAACAACTGAAACTACAGCAAAGAGCCAGCCCAAGGTTGTACAGAGCAGAAATATTAATCTCCAACACAAGGGACATGGCCCCCTGAAGAGAGACTCGTGGTTTGATGGGAGCAGACAGCTTCAAGTTGCTTTGGTCCTTCAGTAGCACTGTGTTTCTTTCCCCTCTGTGGGGAAGACACAGGCAGCTTCTGTGTGGTATTTGTTGCACAAAGCAAGTGTCATATCTTATGCACACATATTAGAAGGAGCTGAGCAGTTTTGGTCTCTGCTGTACTTGACTGTAACATGCCCTCACCTGGAACAAATGGTCAGGCACTAGCAGAAACAAAACAGCTTAAGGAAGATTTCTCATTAGTCAGCAAATGATTGCCAAGGGCCTTTTCCAGCAAGAAGGAGCAACGGGGTTCTGTTAGAACAGCAGCCTCTGCAGTTTATACTAATCCTGCTGGTCACTTGCTATGCCCCAAGGGGAAGGAATCTCAGTGCATTGGAGGAAGTCTCCTTACTGCTAAGTAACCCCACCAACGCCTTCCAAAGATCAAACTTCCATCTACTAACACCCTGTGTGCCAGAGACAGGAATGGGAAATAGGGGCAGCCCAGGTTCTACAGGGGCTTCAGGCAGATTTCTGTTAGCCCTGTAGAATGGCTCTGGGGGCAGTGCCTGATGGTGGGAAATCCAGAGTAGGGCACACTGAGCGTTATGGAATATTTTCCTCCTGGCTTCCAACATGGGCATGAGGCCAGCCTCCTCCTGTTGGCTGACTCCGGAAGCATAAGGCTTTTATCTGTCCTGGTCAGACACTGCGTGAAGGTCTTGCACCCAACGTGAGCCACTCAGGCCCAGCTCCAGTATCCTGCATGATCATTCTCTGCTCTGAGCTTTCCGACCCCCTTTCCAGCTGGATGTGCAACAGCCTCAGGCCCCCTCCCTGTTGCGCTGCTTCCTGGCCAGGGGGGGCACTGGGAGCAAACCCTGCAAGTCTGGTGGTGTGCAGGAGGTGGGGTTTTGAGCCCCGCACCTGCTAGGATGCTGTGCTTCTGCAGGCAGTGGTGCCTCTGGCAGTGACTGCAGAGGTATTTGTAGGAAAAGCAGGGCTCCAGGCAGGGAGCTGGCATTCAATTAGCCGAACAGCTCTGTTTACAAATAAATATTTAGTGTTTGCTTCCAAAGCCGGACACTTTTATAAAAAACAGTCAGTCACTTTAAATGGCTTTATTTAAAGCAGCCGAGCGAAAGGACCAAAGCCCCAGGAGAGCGCTGACCTCGGAATACTTGGCAAGTTTCAAAAGCAGGGCTCCAGGCAGGGAGCTGGCATTCAATTAGCCGAACAGCTCTGTTTACAAATAAATATTTAGTGTTTGCTTCCAAAGCCGGACACTTTTATAAAAAACAGTCAGTCACTTTAAATGGCTTTATTTAAAGCAGCCGAGCGAAAGGACCAAAGCCCCAGGAGAGCGCTGACCTCGGAATACTTGGCAAGTTTCTGCTTAAAGCAGCCGAGCGAAAGGACCAAAGCCCCAGGAGAGCGCTGACCTCGGAATACTTGGCAAGTTCCTGCCAAATCAGCAATTCGGGGAGAGGCATCCACTCTGCAGCTAGTCCTGCATATGTAAGCTAGCCCAGGCCTCTGGTCCAAGCCACAAAAATGAAAACCGAGCAGTAGGGATGTAATAGCATAGTCGATTAATCAATTAACCGATAAGCAAAAGAGTATCCATTAATGCTATAAACTACAAGCATTCCCCACCCCCTGCTTGCCAGTCAATCTTTTTAGCAGGCTGGCCAGCAGCCCGGCTCAGTCCTGAGATCTACCCCTGCGGGGGCTCTGCATTTAAAATGTATTAGGAGCCAGGCGGGCAGGTAGCCCAGCTCAGTTCCAGCTCGCGCCAGGTCTGGGAGCTCAGACCCCCCCCCCAGACAGGGGCTGCTGCCCCCCCACACTGCTGCCGCTGTATCAGAGTCAGCAGTGCGGGGCAACAGGCAGCCGGTCTGTGAGGGGAGCTAGTTTTTAAACTGCCTCCCCTTGCAGACCAGCTACCACCTGGCATCCTGCACTGCAGCTATCTCTGATACAGAGGCAGCATCCCAGAGTGACAGAGGGCTCCTTGGGAATTGGGGCCCGAGTGCACTGGCTGCCAGCCCTGCCCCTGGGGACTACTGAATAGTCGAGTAACCATTAAGAATTCATTAACTTCCCTAGTAGGTATGATCAGGGATCTGCTATGAAACCACCCAGCCATGGAAATGGACCTTGGTGCTTTGAACATGCTCCAGCTGAGATGAGCTCAGTCAAAGAGGAGCAGCCTTCCACCAGTACCAGCTCAGCCTGGTTCCTGCCAGCTCAGCCTGGGACGGGAGACACCTATCTCTGCATAACTGCACTGGGGGGTTCCCTTTGGTTCACCTGAAGGTAGAGCTGTTACACCGGGGACGAGGTGGGGCTCAGCTTTATGCTTGGTTTGGATAATGTGGGAGATGCACAGTGAATCTGCCTCCTTGTAAAGGTTTAAAATAGTGGATCGCACCTTCCCCTAAGAGCCTGGCTCCTCCACAGGGTCTGATTCAAAGCCCCATGAAATCAAGGGGAAACCTCCCATTGGACCAAGAGAGTTTGGTGTGGCCACATAATGCAGAAAACAGCTGTGACATGCCAGTGCCCACATACTGCATCTGGTATGTTTCTTTAGATCGTGGACTTTCTATCAGTGTCTGAAAGACACAGATTCACCTCTGTGGCACCTATTCCCAGAGGGCTGCTGGCTATAAAGACTCATCTCAAAGCAGGTGGCTAAGTGCAAGGTGGAGCCTCACTTAGCAGCAGCATCTCTGAACTGTGGATAAGGGACATAGGGTCCCTTTTTTTCCAGACCATCAAAAACAACCCAGAGCCTAGTACAGAAATCTTGAGGCAGCCTTTTAATGTGATGCCAACTGACCATCTCATCCCCACTCCACTTTCTGACTTGGAGCTGGTTTCTGGTTGGCTATACTTTGCCCCTCACTCTCTGACTTCTTTGGAAGCTTCTTGTGCGGCTTTTGGAACCCCAAGTCAATTTATGTCACCTGGTTTTATTTTATCCACTACGTCTATTGGTACACTCAAAGAATTCCCATGGGCTAGTAGCTCCACTCCACCAGGGCCTTCATCTTATGGCTGCTAACAAGACTCTCATTCACCTGAGCCCAGCCTCTTACCTTAAATGAAGCTGCGTTATGTTTTCCTAAGGAAATAACCCTTGAACTCTTGTCTTCATTTTGCATTTGTTCAAGACCCTTCTCTGCTTGAGCCAGACTTGCAACCCTGTGGGCTTTCCCTATGTCACTTTGCCCTCCCATCTGAGGGTATACAGACCTGGCTCCTGTGGACCCCGATCAGCAGGGAGCACTTTGGGTAAAAGTAACACATCACTCCTTGCCAGCTCATTGTCAGGGAGAGGGGTGCTGATGATCTCTCCACAGTAGGTCAAAACTAGACTTATGGGTTAGGGGAAATATGGGACATCCTATAAGACACGAAGGCTGTGTCTACCCTACCAGGTTATTTCAGAATAAGTTATTTTGAAATAATAACTCCTGAAATAATAATTTCAAATTAAGTTTATTCCTCTTCATGAGCAGGAGTTATTATTTTGAAATAACAAGCCCCTTATTTTGAAAAAAACGGCTTGGTAGTGTGGACGCCCATCTTGTTATTTCAGAATAACTCCCCAGTGTAGACATGCCCCAAGAGATTCACATTACCAGCTGGTCTGCAGGCCTGTTGTGAGATGAAAGCAACATTTCTGCTATTTATTATTCTAGCTGAGGGTTTTATCCTACTGCTCATCCCCATGGAATCCGAGTGCCTTCCCCATAGAATTAGTAGCAGCAGCGAACCACTTCCTCTGAGCTGGTGTGTAGGGTCCAGCCTCAGCACAAATACATGAACGGGACCTGCCTTCACTGTTCCCATTTCCTGTGATCACTTCCACAGGTAGAGACTCTGCTCTAGCTGCCATGATGAATCAATCACCTCTTATTGTGTAAACTTGCTGGTGACCCTCCCAACCTGGAGCAATTCAATTTACTACAACTGTTACAAGCACCAAAACCCACCGACCTAAACTCACATGTAGGGTGATTTCTGCCCTGCTTGTATTGTGAGCTCAGCAACCTCATTTTATAAAAGCTTCCTAGGTTGAGAACTTGCTCAGTGCCTGAGCATCAGCCTGGAAAAATGTACATCCTGTTGTGACGCCTTGAACTGCTGGAGCTCTACCCACACCAAGGGAGCAGAAACCAAGAGGAGATGTGCAAGCTGAGGTCAGAATTTTGTCCATGGAAGATTATTTCTCTGTAATTAAAAGTGACCCCCAACCAAAGTGGCAGATCCAAATTAGCCCCCTGGTCAGTGTGTGACCCAGGCCACTTGAGTAGCTGATACACAGAGGTTAATGAATCTGCTACCAGGTGCAGATGTGTGGATTTACTCCTCTCGTGCAAGAGGTCTGGGCTAACGGCTTTAGTGCTGAAGGGCAGGCAGCCAAACCTTGCTCTCAGCCCAAACTGAGCCAGTTGGTACAAACACCTCTGAAGTATGGCAGTCCAAAAGCTGGATCCAAATTTTGAAACTCATGAAGAGAGGATGTTGGAATGCTCAAAAAGACCTACCTTCTGTATTCGTTAGGGCCCACACTGCTGATAGCATCAGAACCATCCCCATAGACTAATTAATTTTATATTCTCAGCATTGACTTGTAATGAGGAAACAACATTTTAAAGCCCGCCAGAGAATGGGGTCCGCTCACTATTTTGTCTTGTAAAGTCTAGGATAAGATTAAACTTGAGTTATTTCTAGGCTTGACCAAGGCAGCATGCCCTGCAATCTCTTAATAATGAGTCAAGCTAATTCTCAAGCCATCAT